TCTCTCTGGCTGCCCTTAGCATTTTCTTCTTCATTGCAACCCTGGTGAATCTGATTATGTGCCTTGGGGTTGCTCTTCTTGCGGAATATCTTTGTGGTGTTCTCTGTATTTCCTGGACTTGGATATTGGCCTGCCTTGCTACGTGGGGTAAATTTTCCTGGATAATATTCTAAAGAGTATTTTCCAGCTTGGATTCATTCTCTTCATCACATTCAGGTACACCTATCAAATGTAGGTTAGGTCTCTTCACATAGTCCCACATTTCTTGGAGACTTTGTTCATTCCTTTTTGCGCTTTTTTCTCTAATCTTGGTTTCTCGTTTTATTTCATTGAGTTGATCTTCGACTTGTGATATTCTTTCTTCTGCTTGGTCAATTTGGCTGTTGAAACTTTCCAAATTGTTCTTGTGTTGTGTTTTTCAGCTCCTTCAATTCATTCATATTCCTCTCTAAGTTGTCCATTCTTGTTATCATTTCCTTGAATCTTTTTAAAAATCTTTTTTCAAGGTTCTTAGTTTCTATGCATTGATTTAGAACATGGAAGTTCTTTTAGTTCATGGAAGTTTCTCATCACCCACCTTCTGAAGTCTGATTCCGTCATTTCATCACACTCATTCTCCGTCCAGCTTTGTTCCCTTGCTGGTGAGGAGTTTTGGTCCTTTGTAGGAGGTGAGGTCTTCTGGTTCCGGGTGTTTTCCTCCTTTTTGCGCTGGTTTCTTCCCATCTTTGTGGATTTATCCACCTGTCATCTGAGTAGTTGCTGACTTTTTGATTGGGTCTCTGAGTGGACACCCAGATTGTTGATGATGAAGTATTTCTGTTTCTTAGTTTTCCTTCTACCAGTCTAGCCCCTCCACTGTAAGACTGCTGAGGTCCACTCCAGGCCCTGCTTGTCTGGGGTACACCTGTAGGAGCTGTGGAACAGTGAGGGATGCTGCCAGTTTCTTCTTCTGCTATATTTGTCCCAGAATGATGCCCACCAAATATCAGTCTGATCAGTCCTTTTTGAGGTGACTCTTTGGATGTATGGGGTGAGGGAGCTGCTTGAGGAGACGGTCTGTACTTTATAGGAGCTCAAGTGCTGACCTGTGAGCTCCGTTGTTCATTCAGTGCTGTTAGGCAGGTATGTTTAAGTCTGCTGCAGCAGATCTCATAAACCCCTTTTTTTCTCAGTTGCTCTGTCTCAGGGAGTTAGGGCTTTATTCATGAGTATCCATTGCACTGTCCGGCCTAGCTAGGAGGCAGTCTAGTCACTATTTGCCTGCTGAGGGTCCGCTCTGTTGCCTTGGGCTCTGCCCTGCTGCTGTGGGCTCTTCCCTGTTGCCGTGGGCTCCACCCTGCTGTCATGGGCTCCACCCTGTTGCCATGGGCTCCGCCCTGCTGTTGTGGGTTCCGCCCTGTTGCCATGGGCTCTGCCCTGCTGGGGAGTGTAATTCCCTGTAGTCCTGTTTATATGGGTGTGGTTAAAACTGCTGTGGTGATGGTGGCCCGCCTCTGTATTGGTGGACTCTCTCTGTTATGGCGGGTTGCCTCAGCAACGGCAGGCTGTGTCAGCAATAGGAGTGTACCTCAGTAGGGGTGGTATGCCTCGGTAATGGCGGATGCCTCTCCCCCACCGAGCTGCACCATCCTGGGTTCAGCTGTGCCCACAGTGAACTCTCAACCCCGAGCGTTTCATATCACCATTTTGTTTGTCCCTGTGGGGGTGGGACCCGCCGAGCCTGATCACCTGGTTCCCTGCCTCAGAGCCCTCTTTTTTTTTTAAGTTGAATGGTTGACTCTCTCCCAGGTGTTTCAGTCGCCTGCTGATAGGGCACTGGGATCTGTGTGATTTCCCATGCAGTGACCCACTGCGCTGGCTCAAATGTGGCTTCCCGGGAATCTCCTGGCCTGGCTCACTGTCCAAGTTCCGTTTAATCAGATGGATATGCTGATCTGCCCTCCCAAATCTCAAATTGCTGGTTTAACAGGGCACCCAGACCAGTGCGTTTTCTGTGGAGTGCCTGCGCTGGCATCCCGTGTCTCTCCTACACCTGGGAATTTCCCCATTCTGTGGGCAACAAAGATCCATCTGAAATGCGGCTTGCACTCTCCCTCTGTGCCTTCACTGAGAGCTGCAATCCTGAGTTGCTCCTACCGTGCCATCTTCCCCCCACTTCTGGCTTTTATATCAAAGGTTCATGAAAGTGTGTTTCATCGGTACAGTCTAAGTCACTTATCCACTCCTAGCTGCAAAGGAAGCTTGAAAAGTGAGTTTTCTGGCTTCTACCAGAGATACTTGCAGTGTGGGAAACTATCAAAATGCAGGAGAGTGTTCAAAAATGTAGGGGAGAGGGTTCACCACTGTTAGAGAAGCATGGCCCAGATGTCCTAAATGCAGAAAAACCTGAGTCCAGAGTGGCTGAGCCCATCCTATGCTGGTCTTATGCCCACTAGCAGACTGGATACAGAATGGACACTAGACCTTGAAGGCCTAGAGGGTGGTCACTCCACTGTGATGATGAAAAGCCAGCAAAGGCAGCAGAGTCATGGCCAGTTAGTCCTGGTACTCGAAAGCCTTTAGATGGGTCCTGCCTTTATAAACGAACAAAGAAAGAAGCAGAGGCTTACCCATGGCTGCCCAGCATGACAGAATCAGAGCTAGGACTGGGAGTGGTATCCTTTGCCCCACTATGATGTCTAGCACACTCTTACCCCAAGATTTTGGGCTCAATTCAAACATTTTTTGAATATTTGAGGTTTCCCTTGAGTTAGGCTAGGATCAACTCTGTCATTACATACTCATCATGTTGGACTCCTGTTATTTCTGCTTTCTAATTTGTCTCACCCCAACCCCTAGGTTTCAGGAGGCAATGGACACAGAGCATATGTATGTGAACATTAGCTGAAAAGTGAATAAATGAAAAATGAATAAATGGGAGTCAAGAATCCAGAACTGCTATGTGACCTGAGAGAGTTGTTTGCCTTTCCAGACATCAGTCTTCTGCTCTGTCAAATGGGATGATATCCTTTGCATTCTTTGGGCCAGACCCCGTGTCAGGGCTGTAAATAGATTATTAGACTCCTGCCTGCCAGTCCTCTCAGAGATGCTGATCTGGGAGGAGATAGATGTGAACATGGCTGGCCACTGTGGTGGCTGGGTTTGCTGGCTAAGGGTTAAGAGGGATATCCAAGGGCTCCCCAGCCTGGCCTGGGCATTTCTAGGCCCTGGGTTCCATGGATGCCCATGCAGTCTAGAGCCCTGAGTCACAGTGTCTGCCCAGGCCTGCTGATGGTCCACACATGGAGACCCACAGAAAAGGAAGAAGATCTTGGGAACCCAGGACAGGAAAGAACAGTTGAAGGAACAGGCCTAGAGAGGAGAGACACCTGGCCATGATCCCACAACCAGGCTAGGGCCTTCCTGTTCCCATCCCTCAGGGGAAGCCAAGCCACGTTCAGAGGAAAACAGAAAAATACTTGGCTAAGCTAGATCAGTCACAGCTCCAGTACTGGTTTTTGAATTAAAATATTCACAAGTAGCAGAGACATCTGTAGGGAGAGTAACGGGATGCGACATCCTGCTGGAGGCCAAGCTAAATGTGTCTCATGACATCACTCTGAAGAGGAGGCTGCCAGAGCCACACAGGGCCTGGAGTGCTCCTGCAGCCCAGTGCCGCAGAGGCAGGCTGGGCCTGAGGCTTGCAGCCTGGCTCCTGGCTCCCTGCTCTGTGAAGAAATTCTTTGTTGCCCCCCTGGCCTTTGGGGAAATTATCTGACCACCTCCCTAGGCCAATCTGATCTGGGGAGATATGTTCTTTCTGCCCAGCCTTCTGGTTCCCCTGGGTCTCCTCCTCAGTACCAGTAGATCTCCAGTTACTCTGCTGCCAGTGGGGGTGCAGGGGTGGGGGTATGCTGACAGCCCTGTTACTTGTGGGGGGGAGTGCTGCCACACAGCCTCTGTCACACTCTCTTGGAGGAGCCCTACCAAGCTTGAGATCCCAGCAAAGTCCCTGCCAGGCTGTGGCTGAGTTCAAGCTGGAGCAGCTCTCCCAGGAATCCAAATCCTATGATGGAGAAGGTGTAGGATTCTATTGTAAAGATTGGAAGCGACTCAGAGGCACACAACTGCACTCTTGAACCACTGCAAGGCGCACACAGGCCTGGTTACATACGTGCCATGTACTTGTACTACAGGTGCAGGTACCCCAACACTCACACCCAGCTGCTGAGCTGTGAGTGCACATTCACTCATGGTTGTTGGTCTCTGGTGGGCCTGAAGAGATCTCATGCTCTTCCACTCTCTGCTTCCCTACTTCTGCTCTCTGATTTTCTGCCCTCTTCTTCCTGGGCTGTGGCTCAACCAGTTCCTGGCCTGGGCTGGGCTGCCTGAGCGCTGTCCTCGGTGCTGGAGGCCTGGTGGGCTCCGCATGCTTGAGGAAAACAAGCAAGGGCTTTGGTAGGAGGTGATCTTGCATGGAGGTGTAGATCTTCATGGGGTGCCCAACAGAAAAATGTGCAACTGGGCTTCCTCCTTTCAATTCCAGACACTGAAACAGGTGGCCAAACCCTCAGCCAACCAGTATGGGCATCTGTGTCTGTGTGTGGCTATATGACCATTCATTGTGGCTATAAGGGGCTTTTTCAGACCTCGTGGGCCACACATAGTTATGTATGAAGACCGTGATTGTCTGCTTCCTTCCTTCCTGCTGCCTGTGACCATTCCTCACCGCTTTGCAGAGGTGGCACCCAGAGGCTCCCTATGTCTCCAAACTCGGGTCCTAGGGCGCGTTGGTGTCAGCGGGCACCAGCCCACAGGGGTGTGCACTTCCCAGGACAGGTAACCACGACCCAGCTGCCATTCGCGCCTGCCCAGCCATAAAACCCAGGCTGCGAGTCGCGCGGGGGCAGGGTCGCGCGTTGATGGGGTGTGGCGGCGGGGTGGGCTCAATGTCACGCTCCGGAGCTCGTCGCCCGTGCGCCCCCGTCCAGCGGGTTTCCCCAGAACGCCAGGTACTGACGTTGGGGAGCGGGGCTGGAGAGGGCTGATTCGCTCTGGGGCCAGGCCCCTCCCCCGCCCGGGAGCTCCGCGGTTCAGACAAGGCGGTCAGCGCGGGGCGAGCCCCAGACCCGGCCCGCGAGGCTGGCAGTGGGGCTCGGGTGCGAGCGCGCGCCGCGCCCTCCCCCTTGCGCCGTCTCCGCAGCGACGCGGGGAGGCGGGAGCTGCGGAGCCGAAGGGCGGGGGCTAAAAATACCCGGCAGCTGCGGCGGCGGCGCGGCTACTGCTGGGGCTGCTGGGCTGCGGGGCTGCGGGCCTGGGAGGCCGGCCGGGCCAGGCCCCGCTGACCGCCATGCTGACCTTCTTCCTCGTGTCAGGGGGCTCCCTCTGGCTGTTCGTGGGTAAGTGCCCGTCCTGTCTGCGTCCCGGACTCCCATCTCCCGCAGGCTATGGGCTCTTCGCCCGAGGTGGGGGTGTTACATCTCTGCGGTCGCCGAACCTCAACCCCAGCTCCTGAGCTGTCGCGTCAAGGTCCCCAGGGCCGCCTGGGTACACCCTCCGCCCCCAGTTCCCGCGGGCTCCTGGCCGGGTTGGAGGAGCACCTGGGTCTTGGACGGGGATAGGAGGCTTGCTCTCTGCGACCCCACCTCAACCCCTCCCCCAAGTTCTTACGTCCCCCTTCCCTGATGGCAAGGACCATCCGCGAATCAGATTAGGCCCTGAGCCAAGGCCAGGGACAGACATTGCGTCCTTGTCCATCTCCTGGGGCCAGAAACCGAGGGTGTTGTTCCCCATGTCCCGCAGCAGGTCAGCTATGTAACTAGGACTGACCTGGGCTTTCTGATCCTGGCGAGAGGCTTCTTCACGATCCCTCCCTGCCCTCCCTTCAGCTAGAGTACAAGATTTCTGTGAAATCTCTGCTGTGTCCCCACTGTTTCCAGAGCCCTCCCCTCCATCTCATAGGAGTCAGCCTCACCTCTGCACTTCTTAGGCGTCCACGAGGACCCCGGGTCAATCCCACCTCAGTGTTTACTTCCCCTCACCCCCCCCCCCATACACCCACACCTGGAGTCTCACCACAGGCCCTTCTATCTGCCAGTTCTATTATCCGTACTGGCTACTCCCCTCTCTGAGCCTGGGGTCCTCCAGAATATAATACCGCTAAAGGATCTCCACTCCCACCCCCATGTGCAGATTCAGCCTGATAATTTATGTGCAGTGCTTGATCCTTAAATTGGCCTTAAACCTGGCCTAGGCCACAGCAGATGCTCTATGTTTATTATTATCTCACATTCAAACAGCACCATCAAAAGTGGTAATAAAGTTCTTTCTGAGCCAAGGAAGTTGACCCTTTTGAAATCCTTACCTGAGACTCTGTACGTGTTATTTAATATTCATGGAAAATCCTAGGAGATCGGTGGTGCCATCCCTTTTTTTACTGAGTTCAGAGGTGAATTGACTTGCCTAATGTCATATGGATATCTGGCAGACTGGGACTCCATTCAAGGTTTTAGCTGATCAACCAATGCTAAGTGCTTGGCTGGATCAGGCCTGAACCTGGAGGGTTGGTGGGCTGGGTAATTGCTTCTCCCACCCCCACCATTGCCTTGAGTTAGGCCACAGGGACACTTCCCTTGGGCTGGGGCAGTGAGTGAAGCCTCCCTAATCCCCTCAGCTCCCTAAGCGCCTTCTGTCTGCCAGTGTCTGTGACCGGCTATGCAGGGCCACTCAGTCCTGAGGCACATCTAGCAAGCAAGGACAGGGCTAAAGCTGGGGTTGGAGGTAAAGGGCAAGGATAATTAAAATCATGGTGATGGTAGTAGTAACAGCCACCATTTATTGCTTGAGTGATGGATGGTCTCAGGGCCTGTCCCTGAGACAGGGGTCCCCACTGCCAGGACCCCTTTGCCCTACCTTCAGGAGGCCCCCCCAGCCATGGGTCCAAGGTCAGCTCTCTGAAGACTTGGTCATCTGTGGCTACAGGGAGGTGTCTAGGGGCTACAGGACCACTTGTGATAGCGGTCATCAGCAGCCTGTAAGAAAAAGTCCCTCACCTTGTGGGTCCTTGTCTTTGAGCAGGGTTAGCTGGCACTGACTCAGAGTGGAGTCCTGCTTCCTTGTGGAGCATTTCCCAAAGTGGTCAGCTGCCTCCTCTAATGGAAAACTGGGGGATCTGCCTCACTGAGAGACTATACAGGGCCTCAGAACCATCAAGCAGGAGCGATTCTTGGGGCAGGTAGTGGCTGCTTCCACAGTGGCCAAGCTTCTTAATGCAAAAAGCAAGAGACTGAGGCTGGTCTATGGTGCTCATTGGATAGAATACCTCAGACAAATGCTGGGGCGTTTAAGTTATGTGTCCATCCTCCTTGAGACTCCACCTGGGCCCCAGCCTTTCTCTGGGGGCAGAAGAGACTCCTGAGTTAAGAAATGCAGTCCTGTGAGCACACCTGAGAATATACTCTGCCTTGTCATCTCCAGGATCCCATGGTCCCATGGCAGTTGCCAGATCCCTTCCACTCAGCCAGTAACAGGAGGCAATGTCTCTGGTTAGTAGAGTCATGTGCTTTTTGCCACCTAACCTGGACCTAGGGAAACAAGGTAGGGCCAGGCAAGGGCTTCCCTCAAGGGCTCTCAGGGAGAGATGACAAAGTCCCGGATGGGGGTATGGTATGCACTTGGACGAGGAGGTGACTGTCTGGGGGAGGAAGCCATCTGCTCTGGGCTGTGTCTGTCCTGTTGCCTGCTGAAGAGACCAGCACTGAGTTCTGGGCCAGCCCAGCTCTCACCTGTGTGTTGAATACTAAACAAGGAGAAAGTAAAATAAGTCCAGCCTGAGTCATATGCTGGATCTGGTGTGGGGAAGTGTGCCCTCTGTGCCATAAACACCTAGAGGACAATGGGAGCCATGGATTGGAGCTTCTGTCTGCCTATACAGCACCTTTGTGAAAAGTAGAAAGAGGACCCACTCTTGGTGGATAACTTTATAAAAAGGTACCCCTGAAAACTTTATAAACTTATGACACATCATATATGCTAAATTTAATTTTTAGTCAAGATTATTTCAGATTAAATTAGAAATTTTAGATTTGAAAAGTTTCATTATTATTTTGTTGTGCTATTAAATATTTTTGTATATTTTAGGGAAAAGGAAAACAAAAAAGGTACATTATTTCTACACAATTATGTAGAAAAATACATTCAAGAACAGAATCATGACCCAGAATTTTTTTATGTTTTAGGTTTTTGGTATTCTCAAAATGTAACAAAAAAAAAGATGAAAGAAAGGGAAAATAAAAATTTTAAAAATTAAAAAAAAGGGTACCACTTTCTCTAGGCTAAGGCAGCCCCATGCCACAGGGTCCGATCTAACCATCAGTGACATCTGAGTGGCCTTCTCCGGCATACAGGGGAATTTGTCAGAGACAGGGAGGCCAAACTCCAAGTGGAGAAAGCTAGACCAGCAGAATTCATGGGAGAACTGCAATGGGAGATGGGTCTTCAGGATCTTGTGCCTGAGCAATGTGGGTTGTGGGAGAGGATTCTGGAGAAGGTTATATTTGGGTGGTAAAGGTCACCAATATTTAGCTGCTGAGTCAAGAGGAAGAGAGTGGAGGCCAGGAGGGCAGTAGGAGGTCTTTATGATGTTATGGATAAGAATAGATGTGGTCCAAGGAGTCACAGACTTGAGTAGAGGCTAGACTCCAGTAAGAAGAAGGATGTGACCCCCTGCCGCCCGGCCTCTGCCTTAAGAGATGTGGAGCAGGCCCTGGTGAGCAAGATGAGGTTGCCAGTGTAAAGAATGGTTTGGGATGCCTCTGGCTATAGATGCCCAGGACAAGCATAGACTCGCACACTTCAGGCCCATGAGATCTTCCCCTTACCCCACTCTAGGTAGAGAACTGGCTTGAGGCCTAGGGGGGTTGGAGATGGCAGTTATGAATTCAGACAGATGGTAAAGCTCCAGGCAGAGCAGGTGGCTCTGTGGCCAGCTGGGGACACGCCTCACAATGAAAGCCTGAATTTGTACAGGGTGCACCAGCATGGAGCAGGATTTTGCCCTCAGCACCTTCTCACAGCTCTCCAGCCTGTATGGTAGGAGCATACTGACACCAGGGGGCAGCAGAACCCAGTCATTACGCTCTTCAGCTAGTGTTCTGTCCTTTGTGATTATAAGGATTCTTAGGTTGACCTTCAAAAGGCTGCATATGGCTCAGCTACAGCCCCAAATGGGACTCAGGACTGTCCCATACATGGGGTGAGTGAGCATAAGGCCCTGGCTTGTTTGTAAAAATGGGCAAAAGTTACAGGCTTTTGTATAACAGAAGCTACACTGTGTGTCCAGCCAGCACTGGGCACATAGTAGGCACTCAAATATTCATTAAGTACTAGGTGTGTGTGGAGGGGTGTTTTTATGGGGTTAACTGTTGTTGCAAACAGGCTAACTTGGCTGCCATTTCACTGAGCATCTACCATGTGTCAAGCACCCTTTCTGTGATTCTTCAAGGTTTCCTTCCACCCTCCCACGACAATGTGTGCTGTTGTCACCATTGCCTAGGCAAGGCACTGAGACTCAGAAAAGTTCAGTAGTGAAGCAACTTGTAAGAGCTGTGAGTTAGGCCACATTCTCAGACTTTCAGTCCAGGCAGGGACCACCAGGTATGATCAGCAGGGCCTGAGCCCCTTCAGCAGGCTTGTCAAAGGGCACAGGCAAGGGAATGGTTCTTGGACAGGAGAGGTTTTATGAGAGGGCACATGTAAAGTGCCAAGAGCAGGGGCTGGCACACAGGGAAGGGCTCATTACATGTTAGCTAAAATTATAATAACTTGTGTTAGGTTTTCCTTAAAGGAGGTCTAGGATTCTGACATGCAGAAAGGGAGTATGGAAAGAACAGGCATTCCAGGCCAAGGGACCAGTGTGAGGATGATTGGTTAATAGGAATGAATGAAGTTGAAGGACAAATTCTGCTGTGCCAGTGAGGTTGCCAGAGCTGGACTCTGCAGGCGTAGGATGCCAGGCCAAGCAGCATTGGCTTTATTCTCTGCAGTCGTTGCATCAAGGAGGTGTGGGTAGAACTGGGCATGTGGATGGCCAAGGTGATACTATTCCTGTGCTCTGCAAGCCTCCTCCACAAGTTCTATGGTCTCCTTGAGGGCAGGGCCAGGTGTCTTATGTCTGTGTCCCTAACCAAGAGTCGGACACACAGGGTACATAGTGTTTATTATATAAACTAATGATATAAAGAATTCCCGAGAGTAATTTATTTTAACAATGACGTGTTTTATAAGCTATTTCCTTACCACAAGTCAATCAGTAAACAACAGATTTTGAGTGTGCTCCTGCTAGGATACCAGGCTCTGTGCCCAGCTGGGAGATAACGCCAATATGGTAGAAGCAGTAGGG